GGTTTTTAGAAAAGGAAGTTGGGGGTGGGGGAGAGATGGTTTGGCAGTTAGGAGTGCCTACTACTCTTGCAGAGGATCTAGGCTGGGTTCCTAGAACCTCATTGAGTGGCTAACAGTTTCATGCAAGATGCCTCTGGATGCTGTGGAGGCCTGCAATCGTGTGCACAAAACACACATATACACTATAAAAATTAATAAAAAATAAATCTTAAAGACCTAACATCATAACACAATATGACCCAAAGTGCTAGGAGATGACAGTAGGAAAATAAACCTTTGTTTTCAAAAAATGAAGTAAGCATTGTATGTCTGTATGTCTGTATGCATGTTTCCTTCTGCCTAGCCTCCCTAGCGCTGAGATTACAGGCATGTGCCACCAAGTTTTCACTAATCACTATGTTTTGATAAGAGCAGAAAGCTATGCAGTAAAAAGAGCACAATTCATAGCACATGCAAGTCTTGAATCTGAGCTGAAGCGAGTGAGGCAGCATTGCACGGCACTACAGCATGGATGGCACAAAGTATGGATGTTGCATGTTCAGAACCCAGGCTGCAGGGAAGTCATGTGATACGGCGAGGGCAGGCCCTGTAGAAAGCATCTTGGACTTAGCATGTATTTAATCTTGTTTTAAATTTCGGTCATCGCACGTCAAAGAAGCCAAGTTTTCTGTGACCTTCCAACTGCAGGTTCAGTGTTGAGATCCACAGCCTAAGTTATGTAATAACACCCCCTCAACTTTTACTTATTTTCAAACAGAAAACTTGCAAAAGCTAGGCTTCCGCCAGGCACGGCATGTATGCCTTTAATCCCAGCACTGGAGTGGCAGAGGCAGGCAGATCTGTGAGTTTGAGGGCATCCTGGTCTACAAGGTGAGTTCAGGACAGCCAGGACTAGGAAATCCTGTCTCAAACAAAAGAAAACAACAAGAAAAAATTAGGCTTTCAATGTAGAGGTTTCTCACCCTTTAACAATTGAGCAAAAGGTCTATTCATTATTTAATACCTCAGAAGTCACTCCTGGGAAGCTTCCCTTGAAACCTCTAGGCAAAGGGACACATTGCTTCTCCCTCCTTCCTGCTCTTCGCCCACCATTTGCACCTCTGAGCACACAGCAAGCTCTCTAGCCTACCATTGCACTTCTGTATTTACTCAGGGTACTCCTAACATGCTATTTACCACATTTTTTCCCTCCTGTGTGTTTGTTTTTTCCCATTAGATGGTGAACCCTGGGGAGAAGTCAGTCATCTTTGGTTTCCCCTGAGAATCTCCTTACTATGTAACTCAATATTTGACAGATGAATGATTCCATATAATATACTATGGAAACACTGATGATGGAGTCCATCTCTATACTCTCCACACTGAATAAAACATTAGAGGCATCACATTAACATAGCAAACAGGCACCTGCGACATTTGAGAAACGGCCTGAGGCAGTGCCCTACTCAGATGAGGCCCACTGGAACCTGACATGTTATACTTGTTTGGCTGCCACCTCTACATGTGCTCGGACCCTTGAGTGTTTTATAGGTGACTAAATCCAGTGCTGGAGCATTTGCTTTACCTAAAAGGTTTTATTAACTTAACTGTTCATCGATTAAGCCAACAGGCATTTATTAAAGTCAGTATCCACCACATTGCTGAGCGTTGTTCTAGAGGTTGCAGATGCTATGAACAAATTACAGTGTTGACAGCAGAAGGGTTTGTGGAGAATCCTTTAGGACACTGGTTCCAAATGAGTTCTAGGTTCCTGGATCCCACATAGGATCAATGGGACTTGACTTCCCATCTCTACTCTGTTTTATTATTATTATTATTATGAATTTTAATTTTATTAATTAGTATTCTCTCTCTGTCTCTGTGTGTGTGTCTTTCTCTCTGTGTGTAGCTCTGTGTGTGACATCTGTGTGAGAACAGGTACTCAAGGGCCATGCTACATGTGTAGAGATCAGAGGAGGAACTTTCAAGACTTGCTCCCTTTCTTCCACAGTGCATTCTGAGACCTTGGTTCAGGTCATCAGGCTTTCATGGCTAGCACTTTCACCCATTAAGCCATCTTGCCAGAACAATCTAAATTTAGGTAAGGAATTAGTTCACACAGTTATGGAGACTGAGAAAACATAAGATCTGTATTTGACAAACTGTAGACCAAGGAGAGCTGGTGTCCAATCTGGACTCACTGGGTGGCAGTGGCTGCCTAGTGGGGCTTTGAGAGATGTTCCAGGTCCAAAAAATAGCACAATCCTTACTCAAGAAAGTCTGACTGGAGACCATAGCTTCAGCCTTTGTTAAATTTTGCCAAGTACTAAAGTATGGGATCGCCTGTCAGGGAGGGCTATTTCCTCCTGTGGTAAAAAAGCAATGACCCAGGTAATTGTCATGCTCATCCCTGTGTCCACCTGAGGGACTGAGATGTGATTGTTAGAGGGTGTGTGCCGTGGAATGGGCGTTTTAGGTGTGCATCAGCTCCATGCATCGCCTTCCGTCCTCCACTCCTGGCTCTGCGATGCACCGTGACGCAGCTTCACCGTGGCTGGTGTCTACAAGCGATGAATTTATAGATCTTTGTTTTTCTTTGTTCTGCTGTTTCCTTCTCCCTCATTTCCAACTCATGGCTTTAAAGTAGATACACATGAAAACTCTAGTCGTGTGTGTGTGTACATGCGCACACGGAGGCCAGAGGTCAGCTTGGATGTTGTTCCTCATGAGCCATCCACCTTGTTTTTTTAAGAGAGGGTTTCTCTCTCACTACTGCCCATGGCTAACTGACTAAGCTAGCCTGGCTGGCCAGTGAACTCCAGGAATCCACCTGTCTCTATCTTCCCAGTACTGATACAACAAGTTTATGTAACCATGCCTGTTTTTTTTTTTATGTGGGTGTAGGGGATAGAACTTGGGATCTTATGTTTATATGACAAACATGTTACTAACAGTTCATCTCCATAGCCCTCAAAAAATTGTAGTCTGAGTTGGACAGTGGTGGTGCAGGCCTTTAATCCCAGCATTCAGGAAGCAGAGGCAGTTCAAGGCCAGCCTGGTCTACAGAGTGAGTTCCAGGTCAGCCATGGCTACACAGAGAAACCCTATCTCAAAAAACAAAATAACAACAAGGAAAAGAAACTGTAGTCTGTGCTGAAACACAACTACTAGTTACCAAGAATTAATTCTATTGTAGTACTTAGTAGTTATTAAGCTATGACCAACAGTTACTGGGCGAAAGGGAAGTCCTGGGGGTGGTCTGCGGTGATGACAGCAGGAGGTGTGTCAACTGAAGCAGGCACACACTTCACGCCTGGGAAATGTTTACATAGTTGTGAGAGAGGAATGATGAGAGGTTGGGGGATATGCCAACTTCGGTTCAGGGAGGAAGCCAAAAAAGTGCTTTACACACAGAGGAGGGGAGAGAAGGAGGGTCACGGGTTTGTGTTTGCAGTGCTGAGATGGACCCTGGGGCCTCAGACGAGGTTGCTCTGTGACTGACTGAACCACATCCCCCAGGTGAGAAGGGATGGTGAGGTGTGGAAGAATTAGTCATATGGAGAACTCTCTCTGCCTCTCCTTTTCTCTCCTAGCTCCCTGCCTCCTTCTCTCTCTTTCCCTCTCTTCCTCCTGAAAGCAGGGTTTTGCTATGTATTTTAGGCTGGTCTAGAACTTAAAACCTTCCTGCCTTAGTCTCCCGAGTGCCGGGATTACAGGAGTACAAGGTGCACCACCACACTCAGTGTTACTTTTCACAAAAAAAAAAAAGACAAAAAACCCCACAAAAACAGAACAAAACAAAACACCAAAAAAACATGTTTTCATAAAGTTCTGATAGTTAATCCTAGAGTCATTTTAGCCTGCTCAGCTGCTCTGTTCTCGCACAGAGATCTCTTACTGTTTTGTGATCAGTTCTGATGCTTCTCTTTCTGCGTCACTGTCTGGGACTGTGTGTGTGTCCTGGTGTGTACCCTCTGTGTGCATGTGCTGAGGCCAGAGGAGGATGTTGAAGATCCTGCTCTGACACATGCCACCTTATTTCTTTGAGGCAGGGTCTCTTGGTGATCCTGGAGTCTAGCAGGCAGCAAGCCTGCACGGTCCCCCTGACTTCTGAGAACCTGGATGGCAGTTATTGATCGCCATGCCTGTGCTTTTGCTTCTCTGTAAATTGGATCTCTGTGAATTCGAAGACAGTATGGTCTAAAAGCAAGGCCAGGACAGCTAGGGCTGCACAGAGAATCCCTATCCTGAAAACCCCCAACTATACTATATATATGTGTGTGTGTGTGTATATATATATATATATATATATATATATATGTTCAATACTATATATATACTATATATATATGTTCAATGTGTTTAAAATAAAGATTGCTTTGCAGCATATGCAATAGGAAAAGGAAGGCAAGCCTGACAATAAAGATGAACCTTTCAAGGTGAAAACTTTCTCCTCCTTTTCTTTTATATAGAATGTTTCTGATAGATGGGGTCACACATCAATAATTCTAGCATGTGGAGGAGGATAGAGGTAGGAGAATGAGGAACTTTGGCTACAGAGTTTGAGCTAGACATGGTTGCATGAGACCCTGTACACACACACACACACACACACACACACACACACACACACACACACGAACGCATGCACACATCAGGGAAAAATACTTTGATCCCTGGGACCCATGTAAGAAAAACAACACAAGGAGACATGAAGGTGTACATCTGTAATCTTGGCTCTGGGGAACCTGAGGCTAGGGGCTCCCTGGGGCTTGCTGGCCAGCGAGCCTAGCCTCTTTAGTGAGTTCCAAGCTAAGGAGAAACCTCATCTCAAAAGAAAATGAGAAGGAGGAGGGAGGGGAAAGAAAAGAAAAGAAGAAAGGTGAAGAGAGGGTAAAGCCGTCTGCCACCAAGCCTTATGACCTGGTTTAATCCCTGGGATTCCTATGGTAGATGGATAGAATCTGCTTCTGGAAGTTGTCCTCTGACACACACACACACACACACACACACAGCCAAATAATAATAATAAATACATGCCAAATTTGTGTGTCATTCTTGCGCTGGGGCCATGCCAATCTTATCTATGTAGTTCCACTTTTAGTTCACTTTGAGTTGTCAAAGCAAGCTGTGTGATCATTCTTCTATAGGTCACTTCTGTAAGCCAAGTGGATCAAAAAAATAGCTAAACTAGTCAACTTTATATTGCAGGTATTTTTGACAATGAAAAGTTAAGAGTGTCAGACCTGGTAGCACAGGCCTGCAGGTTTAAGCTTACTTGAGCAGAGGTGGAGACTTTGAACTTTCAAGCTTTCCCCGGGCTAGAGGGTGAGTTCCAAGGCCAGTCTGGAGACCTTAGATAAAAAGCTGAAAAATAAAGAAGCAGCTGGGAATATAATTTAGTGCTGGCATAGTTAGCTCCACCATGGAGCTAATCCCAGGTTCATCACTAATGCCACAAACAAACAAACAAACAAACAAAACAAAACAAAACAAAACAAAAAGATAAAATAAAGCAAAAACTAATGACAACAGTGTTTCTTTCTTTTTTATTTTATTATTATTCTCTTTTGGTTTTTTGAGACAGGATTTCTCTTTGTAGCCTTGGCTGTCCTGAAACTCTCTTTGTACACCAGGCAGGCCTCGAACTCATAGACATCTTCCTGCCTCTGCCTCCCTGAGTGCTGGGATTACAGGCATGCACTCCCTCCCCCTTGCCCGAGCTGGTAACAGTGTTTTCATTTATGAAGAAAACAGTGGCCAGTTTTTGACTCATTATAACTTAAAGTAACCGGAAGTTTTATATATGAAAACCTTGTCAATCCCCAAATAAATACATTTATTTTAAACGGTGATTAACATTTGAGCCCCAAATTTATTTTTTAAAAAGAAAATTGGTTAGGACACTTAAGAAAGATATCACATTGGGTTGTGAAATAAACAGGAGAAATAACAAAGTGTAATTCATATTTAAAAAAATCTATCACTTAATAGACACAGGAGCCCTTTACTGTCATTAGATTGGAATTAGATTGCAGGCATATTATTTTGATTTGAGAAGGTCTTCAAAACACACACACACACACACACCAGCTCAAAGTGTTCATTTTAGCTACTAGGAAGAAACAAGAGTAGAAATATCAACAAGAAAACCTGTTTTAGGTTTAGGGCGAGAGATGTTCAACTATGCTGGTACAGCACGTGCAAACAGGAAAGCGTTAGGACACTTGTGTGTCCACACTGCTCTCTTGACCTGGAGTTCAGCGCATAAAGATTCCCAGCGTCAATGCCGGCATAGGCTCACGGCTCAGCTCCTGCCTCCTGCTCCACTCCTGACAAGAGATAGGTGAAGTCCCGGCCCTAAGCTGCCATCAGCCATGCTGTTATCCCGAGAAATACGGAGGGTTGGTGGAAATTATCCTATAATGAGCAGCCCATCTGGCTGCACCAAAAAATGGAAAGGAAATTCCACCCTTGATTTTTCCATGGTACTAAATTAAAGCCTAATGTATAGTTCTAATTGCTAACGTTTTCTCTCTAATTATGGTTCAGTTTGGCTAGGATTCCCGACAATCCCCTTGTTCCCCTAAAGCAAACACCAGAGAGTGTTCTAACCCCACTGGTGGCATTTATTAATAACCCCCTTGACAGATGAAAAAAATAATTATTGTATATTAAACAGGAAAAGATTTTCCTAGCAAAAGCTAATTGATTTTAAAGAAAAAAATTCTGATCCTATGGTGGAATTAATTTTATAAAGGAAAAAAACCTACAATAGCATCAAATGAAAACGGACCCCTGAATGGCATAATGCTGCCTGGGCACTGTTTGGCTTCCCAGCTTTGTGACAGATGTGTGAAAATATCCAGAAGCTTATTTGTCACAAAGAAGGGACGAGAGCAAAAGGGATCTCTCATGAAGGAGTTTCACTCTGTGCCTCCATGAAGGAAGTAGAGTGTTATGAATTGGCTTCTGTCATTGTCAATATAAGTGCAGGCACACACACACACACACACACACACACACACACACACACACACACAC